GGCAGGAGAATTGCCTGAACCAGGGAGGCAGAGGTTGCGGTGAGCCGAGATCGCCATTGCACTCCAGCCTGGGTAACAAGAGCGAAACTCCGTCTCAAAAAAATAAATAAATAAATAAAATCAAAAACATCTGTACAAAAAAATTGAACATAAATATAAAGACAAGCCACACAGTGAAAGATATTAGCAAAATGTACCAACAAAAAAGGATTAGTAACAACAATAAGGTACTCTTACAAATTGATAAGCAAAGATAAAGCCAATAGAAAAATGGGCAACAGGAAAAACAAAAACAGATATTAACAAATAATATATAAACAGTAACATGTAATTACAATATATACAATATATATTGTTACATTTTTAAGCTTTAAATATAAAATGCATATAATTAGCACAAACCTAAGCACTAAAGTATAGAAACATTACTGAGTATTCGAAACGCCAAATAAGGACAACAGTCACCACTGGAAAGAAGAATGGGAGAGTTTAACTGTCTAACTTTTCTTTTTAAAAATAAATCTGGCAAGTGTTAACATTTTTTGAAGTTGGGTAGTGAATATACAGGTATTATCTTACTCTACTAGTCTCTGTGTTTAAAATACTTCATAATGAAAAAATGGTTAATTTCACATAAGAAGGACTTTAACAGATAAAAATAATAACAGGAAAAAATAAAACCTTTCTCATTCGACAAGCTGTCTAAAACGGGAAAAAAAGAATCCACTCATAAAAATAGTAGCAGATAATGTCATCGTGATTTACCAGAGTTTAAAGCTTTATTTATTGTAACGTGTCCTTATTAAATTAAGAAGTTACTGTGTTAAAGCTATAATGTTTAAATAAAAGATTTCAGAACACAGCAAAAATACATTCCAGTAATATGCTGGAGTTTTTATGCACCAGAAAAACCTACAATAGTAGGTGATTTGGCCGGGCGCGGTGGCTCAAGCCTGTAATCCCAGCACTTTGGGAGACCGAGGCGGGTGGATCACGAGGCCAAGAGATCGAGACCATCCTGGTCAACACGGTGAAACCCCATCTCTACTAAAAAAAAAAAAAAAAAATACAAAAAATTAGCTGGGCATGGTGACGCGTGCCTGTAATCCCAGCTACTCGGGAGGCTGAGGCAGGAGAATTGCCTGAACCCAGGAGGCGGAGATTGCGGTGAGCCGAGATCGCGCCATTGCACTCCAGCCTGGGTAACAAGAGCGAAACTCCGTCCCCCCCCCCAAAAAAAAAGTAGGTGATTTGACATTTGAATCACACCTATATGAATTAAGATGTCCAGCACTACCAAACAAAAGCCACACGAGGCCACGAAACACTCCCAACTCTGTATGTTTTAGCCTTTTTAAAGACCTATAAACCAACAGATACGGATTAAAAACAAAACAAAAACTACAGGCCTCAGAAAAATATACTATTTTGCACACAAAGGCCATCTATAGGCCTCAGATCTAGAACTCCTGCTTTAAAGTTGCTTCTCCAATCTCGATCCGAAACATTGGCTGAATTATGTTGGAAAAGAATGAAAAGCGTACGCAGCTTGGGTGCCAGTTGCGTAAAACCTTTCGGGCTTTCACTAACTTCTCGAGAGGTTAACACCTTTAACGAGAAACTTTGCTCCCTGTCGCTGCCTTGTCTGGGCAAATGCCTCTCTCAACTGCTACAGACCCAAAGTCTAAGCTTTAAAGAGGGTGAAGCCATTGTGTCAAAGTCTCTTGTAAACAGAAGGGATAGGAAGCCGCCCCCCTTTCTTCAAACACAGGGACCCAGAGAGACGCCCAGGAGCTCCCGAAAAAACGTTGCTGCTAAAAGCCGCCGCGTCAGAAACAGCTGTGAGACACTGAAATCCCCACTGGTAAGCGCCCCAGCTCCACCGCGACCCCTACCCACAAGGCTGGGGGCTGGTTGAATGGGGGAAGGGAACACCTCCGCCAACAACCGCTTCAACCGCCTCCTGACAAGTCCCCGATCAGGCCCACCAAACTCACAGCCTGAAGAATCGCACACTCACTGGAAAGTGGGGCCGGGTCCTGGTCCTGGTCCGGTCCCCGGAATTCGGCGGGTCTCCCAAGGTTTGGGGGGAGGTGGCGGCTGAGACGCCATCTCCTCCTACTCCGCTCGGCCCCCGTTCCTCTCCTGGACTGTCCAGGCCTGCGTACACCAGCACCTCGAACGCCAGGCATAATGGGCAGAACACCGAGCCGTCCACCCCGCCCACCCCTGCAATCAGAACAAGGCTTAAGTTACTTTACCAGCTGAATCCAGACCGCGGGAGGATGCGATTAATTTGTAGGAAGAAACACGTTCTTTGTATTTGCCTTAGAAAGAGCTCGTGTACTAAACCCGAGGGTAAAGGCTCATCGATATTTCTGGTAGCAGCTGCAATGTCCTAGACCTCGGAGCGTCCCCCTACCCCCGAGGCTTATCAGGGACTGGACGGGTCAGGCTGGGAGTAAAGCTGCTCACACTTCTACACGCCCGGGGTAGGTGGGGGGAGGTGGCAAACTAGGCAGTTTGACAGATTTCCCTACAAACAAGAAGGGAAAAGCTCACTTAGTCCTAGCGAGAGCGGCCTGGTACTTTCGTTCTAAAGCCCACGTTTCCTCGGGGAACAGAATTGCTAGACGCAAATAGGTGCGTTGTCTTTAGTCTTCCCTGTTCCCTTCGGGGGCCGGAAGGGGTTAAATCTCAGGCTCCGGCATCTGGGGAGAAGGTGAGGCGGGTAGGTAAGAGGTGAAGGGGTGCAGACTGGGTGCAGAAGACGTGTGGCGGGAGAGAGGTCATTTCCCTCCTGCTGGAACGGCTTTGTTAGCAAAGGAGGGGTGAGTGGGAAGTTTGTTGGACCTGACCAAAGGGGGAAGGGCTAGCTTGGCTAAAACTAAGGCTTGAGGTTAGATCTCGAGATTAACTTTTCAAGAGTCCACGGTAGATTCCATAGCTGAATGTTTCAGAAGTCCAGTGAAGTGTGATTACCTTCCCCGTAAATCTACACCCCAGCCCCATGCTGCGGTACGAATGATACCTTTCGGTAGGGAAATGAGTTTTAAAACATCTTAGGATGTCGTTCGTTTGGTCGTTTCGGTAGTTTTTTTCATGCCCTACTCGTTTCCTCGTTTTCGATGACTTGTTTTGCAATCGTCCAAGAGGTGAAAATAAAGTCCTCTCCTCCAGTAAGCCAGAGACTGGACTAGTTATCCTTGTTTTGGGGAGGAGGGATTCAGTCCTCGGAGGGAGCCTGACACGTGAAAAGGCGGCTTTGTAGCAACTTGTTACAGAGTTATTTCTGCAAAACAAACACGTAAACGAAAAGCGAACATCTTGAGGGTAACCAACACTGGAAAATTTGTGGGATGTCTTTCTCAGGGCTTGCTTTCAAACATAGTAAATCTAATGTGGACAACCGATTTCTGATATCTTAAGGAATCCTGACATTTCATTACATCAAGATGAAACGACCAAATTTAAGGCGTAACATATTTTCTCCTTTTAATGTTAATATTCTTGAGAAGTTGCTAGATTGTTGCTAGGGGAAAATAATGTTGAGAGGTTTGTAAATTCGTAGCTCGTTTATTAACATACACATTCAAAGAAAGGTCTTTTTGTTTGAGGACTATTTTTAGACTTATTCAAATTACTCAGAACTGGAAGTTTGTAATTCTCATTAGGTTTGGGAACTTCTCAGAGCCAGTATATTGTAATATGTCATTTATTCACTTTGCATGATACCTTTGTTCTTGTGAACTTACTGGGGAAATAAACATTGTCTTACAGCAATAGAAAATAAAGTAAGTTTTAATATAGCTACTTAAATCTCAAGGGAAATCATCGTTAAGTGTCCTTTTTAAAGTGCTTATTGATTTGTTTATTGGAAGAGGGTGTGTTTGTGTCTCTTTTTGAGTTAAATGTTACTTCTGAATTAAGTAAAATTCTTGACCTTGACTAATGGAGAAAAAATAACTTAGAATAACAGGTGAAACAGAAAATGTTTTGAAACTGAATTATGAATTATGAAACTGCACAAATTACAAGATGCCACTGTCTTTCATCTTTCATGACCACAGTTACAGCATGTCATAAGATTGCCATGCAGTGATTATTTTGGCTGGACGTGGTAGCTCACGCTTGTAATCCCAGCACTTTGGGAGGCTGAGGTGGGCAGATCACGAGGTCAGGAGTTGAAGACCAGCCTGATAACATGGTGAAACCCTGTCTCTACTAAAAATACAAAAATTAGCTGGACATGGTGGCACGTGTCTGTAATCCCAGCTACTCAGGAGGCTGAGGCAGAAGAATCCCTTGAACTTGGGAAGTGGAGGTTGCAATGAGCCAAGATCACACCACTGCACTCCAGCCTGGATGACAAGAGCAAGACTTCGTCTCAAAAAAAAAGAAAAGGATTGCTATGCATTGATTATTTTCTAAAATATTGCTTTAAATATCATTTTAAGGTAATACGGACTGTTTCACTAATTAGAAGATCTAGTTTTGCTAAACAAATTAGGTTGTTTGAATTTTTAGTACGCCTCTTTCCTGGTAACAAGAGACAGATTTGCCCTTATTCTCTATATAGTATTTTTTTGTCAGTTTGTTTAAATTGCAAAAATTGGCTACTTAATTAAGCAAACAATTGCACTCAAATATTTTGTACTTAATTTGTTTTTGTTGGAGGTTTGTGTTTTGTTTTGTTTTTTTTGAGACCGAATTTCACTCTTGTTGCCCAGGCTAGAGTACAGTGGCACAATCTTGGCTCACTACAACCTCCACCTCCTGGTTTCAAGCAATTCTCCTGTCTCAGCCTCCTGTTAGCTGGGATTACAGGTGCATACCAACACACCTGGCTAATTTTTTGTATTTTTAATAGAGATGGGGTTTCACCATGTTGGCCAGGTTGGTCTCAAACTTCTGACCTCAGGTGATCTGCCCGCCTCAGCCTCCGAAAGTGCTGGGATTACAGATGTGAGCCACCGCACCTGGCCTTTTGTTGGAGATTTTACTCATGAAAGGGACAGATTTTTATTTTGTTAATAGGTGGTTGCCATTTAGTCATTATATCATCAAAGTAAAGTTGATATTTTTGGACCAGCTGATCAGTTGTCATTGTTGTTTGTTGTTGTTTTGAGACAGAGTCTTGCTCTGTCACCCAGGCTGGAGTGCAGCTACCAAACCCAGCTAATTTTTGTATTTTTAGTAGAGACAGGGTTTCTCCATGTTGGCCAGGCTGGTCTTGAACTCCAGACCTCAAGTGATCTTCTGCCTCGGCCTCCCAAAGTGCTGGGATTACAGATGTGAGCCACTGTGCCCGGCCTCAATTTGTTTTAAATAGTTGACTGCTAAACTATCATTAAGTGCAGTCAAGTATTATATAATGAAGACTGGTCTGATTTTTTGTCTAGTCTGAATGCTGAGGCCCCTAGCCACCTAGAGGTTCCCCGAAAATCACTGACATCAGGCAAATTGATTAATGGGAGAAAAGGCATACACGTTTATGTAATGTGTATACACAGGAGGCTTCAGAATGAAGACATGATAACAGGAAATTGTCCATTTTTATGTTTCGTCAAAGTATGGGCAGCTCGTAGAAATATGATTAGAAAAAAAAGGGTAATTAACTGAATGGGGAAACCCAGCAAGCCTGTCTGTCTGGGTTCTTCTCGGCCTCTCAGAGCATGCATTCCTTCCTTCTAGGTGTAGGGCAGGACCTGTTGTGGAATGGAGGGTCTTTTGACCTACAGTCAAAGAGAGGTCAGATAATTTGTCTTTTTTTTTTTTTTTTTCCTTTGCTTTTTAGAGACAGGGTCTTGCACTGTCACCCAGGTTGGAGTACAGTGGCACGATCTTGATTCACTACAACCTCTACCTCTTGGGCTCGAGCAGTCCTCCCACCTTAGTCTTCTGAGTAGCTGTGACTACAGGTGTGCACCACCATGCCCAGCTAATTTTTCATTTTTTTTGTAGAGACAGGGTCTCATGGTGTTGCCCAGGCTGGTCTCAAACTCCTGGCCTCAAATGATCCTCCACCTCGGCCCCACAAAGTGGTCAGACTATAGGTGTGAGACACTGCACCTTGCCTCATTTTTCATGGTCAGTTTTTACTCAGGAAAGTGGAGGGAAAATTTGAGTTGTGTGTATGTGTGTGTGTGTGTGTGTGTGTGTGTGTGTGTGTGTATGTGTGTATAATTATTATTTTTTTGAGACGAAGGTTTGTTCTTGTCGCCCAGGCTGGAGTACAGTGGTGCCATATCTGCGCAGTGCAACCTTCACCTCCCAGATTTAAGTGATTCTCCTGCCTCAGCCTCCCAAGTAGCTGGGATTACAGGCGCCCAGCATCATGCCTGGCTAATTTTTATTTTTTCGTATTTTTAGTAGAGACAGGATTTCACCATGTTGGCCAGACTGGTCTCAAACTCCTGACGTCAGGTGATCCACCCACTTCGGCCTCCCAAAGTGCTGGGATTTTACAGGTGCGAGCCACCGCACTCAGCCAAATTTGAGTAATATTTTTAGATTTTATGGCTGACTTTAGGGAAAGGGGATTCTGGTTTCTACGACTCACCTTGAGGAAGAGGGACTGTAGTTTTTCTATGGCTAGTCTAGGGGAGAATGGGACTGAGAGACAAGAGGGCAGAAGGTTAGAGAAAAACATTTGCTTCTGAGGCTGCTGCTGAGGCTTTCATTTTGGGGTATGGCTTTCTTAGCCCAAACACCAGTAAACTCATTTTTAATTTCTAATCAGAAAAGTTTAATGAATTAACTTTGTACAATACCGAATAGTAAAGAAAAAGCAAAATTTCACTCTGTACTTGTGTTTTCATTATCCTCCTCAGAAGCAACCATTTTTGATTATTTTTATTTCTTTTGATCAACTTAGTTATATTGATGTATCATAATTCAGAATGCTAAACGAAATTCCTTGACAATTAGAAACCTTTACTGGATCCATCTTATAAACTTCCTTCAAGTTTGTATTTTAGAATACGTATATAAAGAAAGGGGCTTGGTTAGAGAGTACACAATAGTGTTTTTCAAATAAAAGCTAGTCTTTATCCCTAAACATTATGACTTATTTGTCTGTGACAGTAAAATGCAGAAGCTGCTCATTAGTTTTACTTTTGTCTTTCTAGTTATAATTATTCAGTATGTTCCCACTGACCGAGGAAAGCAAGTGTTTGGCCCGGTTGTTACTCAATACTGGTACTTGTCCAAGATGTATCTTCAGATTCTGTGGTGTGGATTTTCATGCACCTTATAAACTTCCATACAAGGTATTTTCTTTTTTTTTTTTTCAAGTTAAGGGAAGCTTCTCTATATTTTAACAATGAATGCCTGTACTTTTGAGAGCAAGTATCTATCTATAACTGTTTTTTAAATTAAAAAAACTATAATAAAATAAATGATAATCATAATTTTGGAAGAGTCTCAGAAATGTTAAATTCCCTTCTTAAGTGATTCTATCTAGCTGTCTTAACATTTAGTGTAGTGGGATCTTTGTGGAGGAACTCCCTGGTGCATTTAACATTTGTGTAGATGTTTCCTAAAAGATATCTGAACAGAATTTCACAAAATATTGCTTCCTCCTTACATGTCCTACTAAGTGGAAGTATTGTGGGTATGGTTGCCTTTTTCTGTTTTTCCTATTTTCTATATTTCCATTTGTATTTGTAAATAGGTATTTAGAGCCCTCTAAAAATAAATGCTTATTGTCATTATTACTGCTATTAATGACAAAAGTAATATACAGATATCTTTGACATTTATGGTAATATACAGAGAGCTTTGACATTTAATATAATACTTTTTTGCATAAGATGTAACTTGAAATGTTTGATTCTAGAAGTGATATTCTTTTTAGAGGCAGATAGTAATAATACATATGTAAATATAATACATTATAAACAGTATGCATACAACACATACACACACACAATTTCTTGTAATTTAAAAAATTGTCCAGGAGTTAGTAGTATGCTATAATATGCTGTATTCAATTATCATTACTATATGTCAAGTTCTCATATAATTCTCATAATAACTGATTAGGCAAGTACATACTATGATTGTCTCTATTTTCAGATGAAGAAACTGAGATACAGAGAGGTTAAGCAACCTGCCCAAAGTTACACAGCTATTAAGTGAGCAAGCTAGGATTTGAACAGTCTGTCTGAATTCAAAACCTAGGATTTGGAGCTACAAGACATGGATTTGAATCCCAGTTCCACCACTTTCCAGCTTCATTTTACTCCTCTGTAAATGGGAATGATGATAATACCCACCTCACAGGACTTTAAGAGACAGTACCTAATAAAGTATGTGGAAACACTTTGAAAACCAGAAATCGGCCGGGCGCAGTAGCTCATGCCTGTAATCCCAGCACTTTGGGAGGCTGAGGCGGGTGGATCAGAGGTCAGGAGTTCAAGACCAGCCTGGCCAAGATGGTGAAACCCAAAAATACAAAATAGCCAGGTGCGGTGGCAGGTGCCTGTAATCTCAGCTACTCAGAAGGCTGAGGCAGGAAAATCGCTTGAATCCAGGGGACGGAGGTTGCAGTGAGCCAAGATCATGCCACTCCACTCGAGCCTGGGCAACGGAGTGAGACTCCATCTCAAGAGAAAAAAAAAGAAAACCAAAAATGGTACTTGTGCTATGATGATTTAAATATATGTATATTCATTTATGCACAATATGACGATAAAGTAATAAGACTAGTTTTATGTAACCCTGCTTACACATTTTTTAGACACATTATAACCTATTCTGTTATTAGATTTTAAAAAATTTATATTAAGAGACTGTTATCGACTTTTGTTTGTTTGATTTTATATAAATAAGTGTACAAGAATATTAGGACAGTTTTTTTTAAATGTTCTTAAATTTCTATCTGTTCTATTCATGTAGCTATGTATATACATGCACGTCTGTATACGCACTGTGTTATACTGATATTATAGATCTTAGGTAACAACAAGCATATTTGTGTGAGTCAAAATGTACCTGTATATGTATGTGTCTGTATTTCTCTATTAAAGCAGGAGAGCTAATTTCTCAATAAAATAAATTTAAATTTGCTTGAGTGAAAGATTTTTTTCCCTTTAGAGTCAGTAAATTGTCATCTGAATGAATTTTAAAAAGATATTTATTCAACAATGGGATAATAAAACCTGTCTAAACAAAACAGAAAAATCCTCTGAGTATTTAGATGAGAGGAATATCTGAATGAGAGAAATGTGAGAATGGTTTCAAAGAAATACAAGTTTTTACATTCTAATACAAGAAATGACAGAAATTAGGCAAACTAGAATATAGTAAAGCACATCTTTCAATTAATATATATAAATGGTTTGTAAACATATGCTAACTTTCAGCATTGTCAGCATTTGTGTACCTTTCTTAGTAAATTATCTCCAAATTATTTTTACTTAGTAGACTACCCTAAAGATCAGATTTTATATTAAATATTATACTTGTGAGCTTTTAGTCATTATGAGGTTATTAAATAACCTAGCAAGGATGGAAATTCAGTTTGTATTTTTATATGTTAATCACTAGAATTGAAGTTTGTTTTTACTGAAATTAGCAAGTGAATGCCTCTCAGAACAGAACTACAAATTAATAAATTTGTTAATGGAGCCTTTCTCCCTCAGATTTATGACTTTTGAGTTGGAAGCTGGAAACCAAAAAAGATGAATTAATTTTGGAAGTTATGAACCTACCTCCCAAGAAAATTCAACTGCAAGAACTAGAAGATAGTATTGATAATCTAAGTCAGAATGGAAAGGGAAGGATTTCTGTTAGTCAAGATGGAAGCATTGCTTCCAAGAACTCAAATTTAAATGTATGTAATATATGCCTAGGAATATATTCACTGATATATGGAACTCTTTTGAAACGTATTCATGTATATATAATAGAGATAGGTAATTCTCTTTTAAATTCCATAAAAGCCAATGCTGTCTAATAAAATAACTGGATTGCTTCAGCGCTGACATGTCAACGTAAAATCTGTGATATGTCCTAATTTTCACTTGTATTTTCTTGCTTCATCTTACCTAGAAAGCCTTAAGGGCATTCTCAGTGGGTCATTACTTTTTCTTTTATTAACTTTTCAGGAGTTGCTCAGTGAACTACAGAAATTTCTGGAAACTGAAAAAGATGAATTAATTTTGGAAGTTATGAACCCACCTCCCAAGAAAATTCGACTGCAAGAACTGGAAGATAGTGTTGATAATCTAAGTCAGAATGGAGAGGGAAGGATTTCTGTTAGTCAAGATGGAAGCATTGCTTCCAAGAACTCAAATTTAAATGTATGTAATATATGCCTAGGAATTCTTCAAGAATTCTGTGAGAAAGATTTCGTTAAAAAGGTAAATAACTTGTTTTTCATTATAGGTGTAATTACATGGAGATTTTCAGTTCTAAGACCAAGAATTCTTTCTTTTCTTTTTTGGAGACAAGACAGTTCTTTTTTGGGGGGGTTGGGGGGGCAGTCTCATTCAGTTGCCCAGGGTGGAGTGCTGTGGTTCAATCACAGCTCACTGTAGCCTCCAGCTCTTGGGCTCAAGCAGTCTTCCTACATCAGCCTTCTGAGCAGCTAAGGCTACAGGAATGTACTACCATGCACACCCAATTTTTCAATCTTTTTGTAGAGGTAGAGTCTCCTTATGTTATTGTGCTGGTCTTGAACTCCTGGCCTCAAGTGATCCTCCTGCCTTGGCCTCCCAAAAGTGCTGGGATTACAGGTGTTTGCCACTGCATCTGGCTAAGGCCAAGAATTTTTTTTTCTCTTTTTTTTTTTTGAGATAGAGTTTCACTCTTGTCACCCAGGCTGGAGTGCAATGGTGCAATCTCAACTCATTGCAACCTCTGCCTCCCAGGTTCAAGTGATTCATCTGCCTCAGCCTCTTAAGTAGCTGGAATTACAGGAACGTGCCACCATGCCCAGCTAATTTTTGTATTTTTAGTAGAGACAGAGTTTCACCATGTTGGCCAAGCAAGTCTTGAAATCTTGACTTTAGGTAATCTGCCCAACTTGGCCTCCCAAAGTGCTGGGATTACAGGTGTGAGCCACTGCGCCCAGCCTTCTGTTTTTTGTTTTTGTTTTTGAGACAGGGTCTCACTCTGTCACCCAGGCTGGAGTGCAGTGGTACAATATCAGCTCACTGCAACCTCCACCTCCGGGCTCAAGTGATCCTCACACCTTAGCCTCCCAAGTAGCTGGGACTACAGGCACAGGCCACCATGCCTAGCTTCAAGAATTCTTATATTGAAAGGAACACTGCCATTCATATTCAACTTGTTTCACACAATTGGATCATTAAAATATTTTCTTAATTTTTTTTAAAACAAAAGCCTATCTCAAATTACTTTTTAATTGACGTATCTGAAAATAAAATGTGTATTCATGTATTTCAGTCATAAGTGCTATTTAATTGAAGAAAAATATAGCAGTTTGTTTTCATTTTGCTGTTTAACCATAGCTAAGTGACAGAAAAGTTCATTTCTAATCATACTTATCATTGTCCAGGAGAGTACAGCCTTGTAGAAGGTAAATGATTTCACTGGGCACCATAGCTCATGCTTGTAATCCCAGCACTTTGGGAGGCCAAGGCAGGTGGATCATGATGTCAGGAGTTCGAGACCAGCCTGGCCAACACAGTGAAACCCTGTCTCTACTAAAAATACAAAAATTAGCTGGGTGTGGTGGCAGGCACCTGTAATCCCAGCTACTCAGGATGCTGAGACAGGAGAATTGCTTGAATTTGGGAGGTAGAGGTTGCAGTGGGCTGACATCGCACCACTGCACTCCAGTCTGGGCGACAGAGCTAGACTCCGTCTCAAAGAAAATAAAAAAGGTAAGTGATTGAACGTGGGATTGCCTTTTGTTTTCTTCTGTCAAGAGTGCTATGTTTGGGTTTATTTTGTTTGAAAATTAGAAGGTGACCTAATAGAAAACTATTTTGACACTTAATAGTTTATTCTGCAGATGTCACACCTGGCTGTTTTGTTTCCTTGTGGTATTAGTCTTCAGGGTCATAGTTAGGCAGTATTTAATCTCAAGATATGTGTGAGTGTTCCACTGTCATGTGAAAGTTTGGAATTTTTGCCATGTCATCTACTGGACCAGAAATTCATGTTATGAAGATTAGAGTAAGTGATATTTTCGACAATTCCTGGGAATTTACACAATTGTAATACTTTTTTAGGTGTGCCAAAAGGTTGAGGCCTCTGGGTTTGAATTCACCAGCTTGGTATTTTCAGTCTCCTTCCCACCACAACTATCTGTAAGAGAGGTAAGGTCATTTGCATGCATAAAACTGTATGTGAAGTGCATGCTAGGAATTTTTCAAAAAATTGGAACGTAGTAATATTTCTTTATTATATTTTTTACATATTGTGTACATATTGAATGATTGAAGCAATTTATAGCTGCTTAATAAATACTTGTTGAATGAATAAATGACAAAAGGAATTAGTTTTGTCCTAACAAAGCAAGTTAGTTTGCCCTAGGACTGTCATCTTTTTTAAAGTCCCTCAATCAGTTGCAGACATTCATTATTAGCTCCATGTAAGGTATGATGGTCAGAAAAGAGATTTGACTAGGTTTCCGGAGATCTTTTGAGGTGGATATGTGCATTTTAGAATGGTCCTAGAATAGGGTCATTTCTATTATGATGAACCTTCTTCTTTCTGGAGTAAAATATAAAAAGATGGCATATCTTCTGGTCAATGACAAAAGGTAGAGAAATAGCCTTATTTTTAGAAACTGTTTTCTTTGTTGAGTGAAAAAAAAAGTTATTACTGTAATATTCTTATGTGTCAAAACTGACATGAAAACATAAAGCTTTGTTAATACTGTTAAATGAAGTATAGTAAGAAACATCTGTAATCTCAAATTACAACCAAGGTTTGTTTGTTTTTTGTTTTTTGTTTTTTTTTGAGATGGAGTCTCGCTCTGTAGCCCAGGTTAGAGTGCAATGGTACAATCTCAGCTCACTGCAGCCTCTGCCTTCTGGGTCCCGGTTCAAGCAATTCTCCTACTTCAGCCTCCCAAACAATCATGGGTTCTAAGCATAACTGTTTATATTTATGAGATGTCTTTCCCCTAAGAAGCCTACAGCATCACCAGAACATTACATTGTAAACCCTCACTTTCTTTGGGTGAGCATGTTTGTTAGCCCCAAATAAGCTGAAGATTGTTGAAGCTGGATGGAATGATAAAGAGCCGGAAGTGAAAGAGAGTAAGATGATTTTATATAGTATCTGTGTTGCTAACAAGACAACTAACTGAGCAAATGGAAGTATAAATGGGATGATGATGATGATATACTGGGTTTATAAACACTTAAAGTCATTTTCTAGTCAGTCATTAAAGCATTTCTCACTGATGTGTCATCTTCTGGTCCAATTTTGGTACAAAGAAACAGACTTCCAAAAGCTGAGTGACTCTACTTTAGTGAGAGTTTTGAGTAACAGAAATAGGAATAAGAAGTATATTTTCTGAATGTGGTTATATATCTTACCACCAAATCCTTCCTCTCAAAGCTTATGTTTATATATTTCCCTAACCCTCAGAACCTGTGAATCAAAGTTTATATTTTTACATTAAGATTTGTGTTGTCCATTTTTATCACTTATTTGATAATTTTAACAATATTAATGTTACTATTTATGAGGTATTTATATTTCATATTAGAAACAGAAGATACTGTTTTTAAAAGTAGAATTATTCTGCTCAAACTCTAGTTTTTATAACTAATTTTAGCCAGAAAACTATTTAGCAGAAATATGTCACTGTTCTGATTATTGAAGAATTAATATATTTCCACAGTTGAGTGTGCTGTGTTTTACTGCTTTATTTGTAGTAATGAGTAACATATTTTACCTATTCATTTCCTAAGAATAATTAAAGAAATCATAGTTTTATATGCAGTATACTCTTTTCACATCCCAGATGTCTTCAGAAAATTATGTTTAAGGTTCGCTTCATGAGATTTTCTTTTATTATTATGTTACTTTAGTACTTCTTTGGAGTTGAGATATGCTGTGCAAGCCAGGCTGGATAGAAATTGCCTTTTAAACTATTTATTTGTTACACATCTCAATTAAAAGTAGTTACACATATCTTCAGAATATTCTACATTTCAAATATAAATTCGGTGATTTCTCTAGTGCCATGTTCTACATATGGCTTTCAACTTAGACCTTGTAAATATCTCTACCTTAGAGCTTCTGTGGAACAAATATCAATATACTGCCCATAAAATTGATTGCTGTCAATTATCTCATAATTCATGCTAGAATATACAATTGAGTCCATTTGAATGATTTTATTTTTTCCACTTCTAAGAAGTAGATTATCACAGATATATTTAAAGCAAATAATATTTTATCAATCTGGTGGTATTTATTATATTCCTGCTTACAAAAGAAACAAGGGGTGGCCTCCAGTAAGGTTTTTTTAAAAATTAAATGGCCAGTTGCAGTAGCTCTTGCCTGTAATTCCAGCACTTTGGGAGACTGAGGTGGGAGGATCGCTTGAGCCTCAGAATTTGCATTTCTTGGCTGAGCATGGTGGCTCATGCCTGTAGTCCCAGCACTTTGGGAGGCTGAGGTGGGTGGATTATGAGGTCAGGAAGTCGAGACCAGCCTGGCCAACATGGTGAAACCCCATCTCTACTAAAAATACAAAATTAGCTGGGTGTGGTGGCAGGTACCTGTAGTCCTAGCTACTTGGGAGACTGAGGCAGGAGAATCACTTGAACCTAGGAGGCAGAGGCTGCAGTGAGCCGAGATTGTGTCACTGCACTCCAGCCTGGGTGACAGAGCGAGACTCCATCTCAAA